CAAGACTGTTCATAAATTTGTTTAAGCATGAAAAAGCTGGATTTTATTTGGCAAGGATGATAATTGTGCATTTAGTTTTCTACTAATAAAAGGCATCCACTTGCTAGCATTAGCAAATATGTTTTGAATTTAATTTGTAAACAAATTTTCAAGATTAAGCTACAGCTGAAAAGCTTTGATAGTATCTATTGTGAGTTTAAGTTTAGAAATACAAATAATAAATTTCTTGCTTATAAGTAGCAAGAGTACATAATGACTAATAAACTGCAAGTCTGTCTAGTGTGAGAATTGGCTTTAATTCATACACACACACACACACACACACAGGCACACACACACACACCACACAATTAATAACTAGTACCAGCTTATCAGTTAATAGTAGTTAATAGGAGAAATAACTGCTGTTTTTATTTCATTTACCAGTAAGTTAGTGGAAGAAGACAGATAAATGTGAAGCTAAGAAAATTTGAGTTAATTATGCACAAGGAAACTTCAGATGTTTACAACAGCCAAATCCCTGTTATCTTTATTCATTCATTTATCTTGTATTTATCGAACACCTATTTTATGTACTCTGCTAGTATCTGGGGATAAAATAGTATGCTAAAACAAATGAATTATATTCTAGTGATGGAGACATATAATAAATAAGAATAGTCATGAATATCTAATCATAAACTGAAGGAAAGAAAAGAGGTTTTATAGAGCATATTACAAAGTTACCTGAATTCACATTAAGGAAGGCTTATCAGAGAAAGTGATAGTGTAGCTGGGTTCTGAAGGGTGAGTAGAAGTTTTTTAGGTGAAAAGGGTTAAAGAGTAAAAAGAGAGTGAGCATTCCAGGTAAAGGGACAACATCAACATAACCTTGTGACAGAAGGGAGAAATCTAGTGGAACTGGGGTTCACAGAGGTAGAGAGGGATACAAGATGAGTCTGGAGAGGGTGGCATAAAGTAGAATAATTAGAAGAAGGCCTTGTAGACAATTTGTTCTTTTTAAAAAGAACTCTTTACCATCAATGATGAGAAGAGAATGATATAAAAGCAGTTGAGTGAAGGGAAAAGATGGTGTTGACTTGGATTAAGGCAATGGCCATGTACAAATTGAAAACATATTTAGGTTACAAGTCAACAGCTTGGTGATAGGTGGAGATGGAGTTGACGAAGAGAAGAAGATATCAAGGATGACTTGCCCAGCCAGAGGGATAGTTGTGCCACTTGCTGAAATAGATGACACAAGAAGGCCAGGTCTGGGGAAAGATTATGAAAGAGTCTTGGTTCTGTTGGGGTCCCTTTTAGAATTGAAGATACCTGTGTGAGTTAGCTTGATGAATTCAGAGCAAGAAATCCAAGTCTAAAGGTTCAAAATAAATAGAATAAAGGCTAGGCAGTGAGTTTTTGGTGACTAAACAAAAATACTTTGACAAGGAATCCCAGATAAAAAGAAAAAATAGTTGTGAATTGAGACAAACCTAATACAATGAAAACATTTTATAAAGCTAATACTAGGAAAACAATAAATGGTTTTATAAATATTAGAAATTGTAAAAGCAGGTTTAGTCAACAGAATCTAGTCAAAACAAAAGACCAAGACCAAAACTCCTGGTCCTTGAAACCAATCCCTGTCTTTCAGGAAGGGGTAGTTGAGTTATGGCTGGGGAAGTATCATGTGTGAAACGAGAGGAGAAAATCTTTGAGAGGGTCATTGAAGTGGTTGGGGGAGGAAGAAAGCAAGTGGAGCTTATGAAGCTTTCCCTATATTAAGATAACTTCAATAACTACAATAGGTTACTCACAAAAGTTTCTGTCAGAAATAACCAGGTTATCCTGTTCTATCTTGGAACTGACACATGAGCATATGCAAGGCCAGTCTCACTATGAGAGGAACTTTTATTTGATTTTATTTATTTAGTTTTTGTTTTTTGTTTTTGTTTTTGTTTTT